TGCTACTCTTCAAATATATAACCAGGAGCAAAGCATTGAAAATACAACAAATGAAGTAAAATAACTGCCTACTAATAAAATGTGCTGTGAACACTTTCCCATGTCAAAAGACTTACAGGGCCTCCTAGATTTTGAGGATCCAGAGTAAAATTTCATAAAAAAAATATTAAACTTAAATTCTCCTGAAGTAAAGAAATATTATATGTATAAGAAGAGAATATCTAATAGATAGAGGAAATAAGTGAAATGACAACTGGCAATTTCATTCACAGGTACAACAAAAGGTGGAAATTACATCAGAAATTTTGTGATACTTTTATTTTAACTACCATGACACATTTTTATGCAAATATCACACCATTGGTCGCCATCACACACTAAAACACAATATCTCAATTGAGTTGTTAATGGTTTTATCTGAAGATATTTGGATCAACTGTATGAGCTTTTGGAGAATGAATTTAGTTTAATTTGAATGGTTTTAGTTTAAAGGTAACCATGGATAGAGACAAGTAAAGCGTAACCTTCAGTTGGAAATTCTTTTTTAACTTTTGTTCTAAATCATGAATACTGTTTAAGATATTTAGCTTTCAATAAAGGATATTTAAGTAGTAGAAAGGCATTTATTTTGAAAAAGATGCTTTTGATATTCTACTCTCCCTATCCTTTACTGCCACTTTAAAAGATGCATCTTGCAAGGTAATCACTCAATTCAATATCCCAGATGCGAGTAGAAATAATCTTGATTTCTTGAATTCTTCATTAAAAACTCACAATTCAGTCAAACTAATGTCATATTTGGAATCTACATGTAAAATTACTTCTAGAAATGTGGTTTTGAAAAGAGTTTATCAACTTTGAAAATTTAATTTTCTTTGAAAATGCACTATAACTGACAGTGCATCTATACATGTAGAATGCACTATAAACTAACTATACATGTTGAATGCACTATAACCTGAATATATATGTAAAGTACATTATAAACTGAAATATAAGTGAGACAATGTAGAAATAAATTTAAGGATTGTTATTTTTTGACATTTTGTCCCTGGCATAAAATTTATGGCTGGAAGGCGGGTGATGCCTTTTTTAAACTGGACACCTCTGCATGACTTACACAAGGCATTAACATGACAAAAAACCACAGTTCAAAAAACCACCACAAAAAACGGAGGCCATAACAATATGTCACCACTTTTTGGTGGTGACATAATAATGACTTTTAAATTACTATTATCCACTGAGAAAAGATTCTTGCTCACCTCTTATCCTTAGTCCTGTTTGATCAAGCCCAATACACAGACAACGGGTCAATGATGTAAATATTTCGTTTCCCTACTTCAAATATGCAGCCATTCATATATACATCCATCTACTGCGCTCTGAAAAGGGAAACATAATTAAATATAGTAGTGAATTATTGCAATTTAAAAAGTATGGCAATATCAAAATATAAAATCACATCAGTGGGCTATCACATATTTTATTAGTGAATTATTGCAATTTAAAAAGTATGGCAATATAAAAATAAAATATAAAATTACATCAGTGGGCTATCACATGTTTTATTGGTGAAACTATTGTCACACATTGGTCTAAAAGAAAAATTTGATGAACTGATGAACTTTGTTCCAAGTCAATAATGTCATTTATCATCCCTAAATAGCCAAATTTTTAATTACCAGTCATGAAGTTAGAGATATTAGAGATAATGGAAATGGTTTACTGAATGATGAAATTATGATATAAATTTTCCCTTGATTATCTTCATATTAGGGAAACAGCAGCCAAGTTTTCGAACTAATTAGGTTCAACTGTGAATGATCATTGCATTCTAAAGGTGGTTATTTCAACCATTATCATTATACAGTAAAACTTGTCTAATCCAAACACCATTGGGCTTAGCTAAAAGCATTTACATTTCAAAGTTTTTGCATTTGCTATATTCTGGAATTGGAAAAAATGTGAAATCAATCTTATAGATAACAAAGGTTTATGGCATTCCAATAATTTGAAAGTCTGATTTAAATGAATGAATTAGTCATGTAAGAAAGATGTATTTTGATTGAAAAAATTCAATGTTTTTTCCAAAAGTTTGGATATCATTAATAAAACATTGATTATTCTAAACAATTTTGTATGAAACATCTGATATTTCATGAAAAATGTTCAGATTAGACAGGTTAATTTTTCAAATATGACTGTTCATGGTTCAAATTGGGAGGTGTTCACCTCTCGGGGTTTCTTTAACATGGGAGTCAATGGGAGGTAAAACTGGGACTGAAAAAGGGTGTTCAGATTGGGAGGTGTTTAGATATAAGCCAGATGTTGGGATATACAAGTTTTACTTTAATTCATATTATCATTCAATTTTCCTATTTATTGAGAATGTTGATTTTTGTATCACTTGTTCTAAAGTAACCAATTTACAATTATAATAGCGAGAATTCTACAAAACATTTATTCCACTACAAAATGAACTTCAAATAGCTGCAATTTGAGGAATTCTCTGTCTTTCAACATTTTGTCAGCACTGATGTATAATAGAGTGAGCACATACATTGTACAGAGAAACAAAACACATGTTGTGTTCAAATTATCTGTCCCTTCCACATCACACTTCAGAAGAAAGCAAAAAAGATGATGTACCAGAAATTAAATCGATCACAAGCTTGGTACATGAAGCAGTGATTCCTCAGAGTCACCATCGGGACAATCTAGCAGAGAATATATTACACATCATAATATTCTTCATCTATCATGAATTAAAGCTGATTATTAATTAATTCTAAGGAATAAAAGCCATAAATAACTATGTACCAACCTTAAGTTTGTGGAAAAGTGTTTCACCTTTCCCATCCAATTCTAAACATCATTTTCCTGTATGGCCTGTAAAATAAAGGTAACATTATGGTTATTATTCACAAGAATTTAAGACTGGGAATTGAAATACAAAATATAAGATCTAATCCTAGTAAAACTGCAAGCTTGGGATAATTATATGGTTTATATTGTATTTTAATTACTATTGTTATATTATCTTACATTTTCACCTCAACTAATAATGTTAATCAAAAGTGGCTCAGTAAGACAAAACACAATGGACAATTTACAATTATTTCCAAATTAATATTTTATACAACCAAATGAATAGAATATAACATTTTCCATCGATTGCAACTTAATTCAGATATGCTTCTAAGCAGAGACTTTTATTGAGGGAATGTTGTATCTCGTTTCTAAGGCGATGATGCATTCCCCATGACACATTGATCACTGAATGATCAGTCCCATAGTGCATGGGCCTTTGACAGTATTAAGGGACCTGCCAATATTCATTAGTAGTCGAATAAATCATTAAAAATTGCATTTTCCTTTTGACTTTTTGAAAGATTTTAAAAAGAACACTAATCTAACAAATGGGTGAGGGTCTATTGAGGGATCCCACCGGTTAAAATCATGCAGTTTTTCACCATTTTGAGAACTTTTCAAACCACTCCCTGGAATTTTTTAAAAAGCTGGCTTCAGACCTGCTCCATATGTAATGTCGCAGTTAATAATGGAGAATGGGTGACACAAAAATGGAAAATGACTTGTTTCAAAAAAAATCCCAAAAAATTTAAGGCCTATTTATTATAATTAGGCCTAAAAAGGCCCAAACAAGGCCAAGCAATGCCCAAAAAGGCCTATACTAGTAGAGGCCCAGCAAAGGGTGGGGCGATAGTAGGATAGTAATTATTCGAGTGAAATCATTCAAATACATTTCATTATCAATGTTGCTTGACTTGATTTTGTATTTGTTAATTCTAGATATGCTTCTCCTTTTGGCTTAGAGAATGTTTATTATGGTGTTAAGAATTGATTGGTACGGGAGGGGGGGGGGCTACACCCCCATGAAATATGTGCGTGGCTGGGGGGGGGGGCCCCCCATGATGCTAATATTTTTTGACTTTTGAATTCCAACTTTAGGTTGGAACTAGATAAATAAACTCCTGTGATTTCTTTCAGGGGCAAAAAGTAAAATTTCTGGGATAATTTTCCCTTACCTGCATACATAGTATTACTGGGCCAGTAAGCTTACAATCGACATTCCTTACTACTCTCCAAACTTCAAGAAGTTCTTCTAAGTTTACATGAATATAACTTCATCTATTCTTTGTGGTAATTCAATGTGTAATACTTTCTCTAATCCCCACACTACTACCTACTCGGATTACCTAAAGTGTAGATAATCAGTGAGTGTAAACTTATCTGCCATCTATTAAACATTGGCGTGAACTTCTTCACTTTATACCTGGACCTGTCAATTTAGCAAGATTTACCATATTCTATGAGTGCAAGAATATTGGCTAGAGACTCAAATAAAGCAAGATGATTCAATCATCATGATGTTAGCACTTCTTCACTCAAGATACCATATGTTGATGTAAAGCATACCATTTAAAGGCCCTGCATAACGTTTGAAAAGATTGTTTAATCATTCAAATAATGTTTCATGACTTGAAAAGCCATTCGAAACATTTTTTTGAAAAATATGATTTGTGAAAAAACTTGTTTAAAGGTGCAACAATTAGTGCAGGGGGGGGGGGGCATTCAATGATCCTAGACCAGTTTCAAAATATATATTCAAGTTTGGATATTTCATCAAGACTAACATATATTTTTATTATCTACAAAAAAACACCCTGGATGAACGTTATTTCAGCTGATATTCCTCTTGAAACGTGGTGAATCTTAAAAATCTATAAGTGGGACTCCCTTTGTAGAAGCTTTGAACTGAATTTACACTTCTTAATGCTGAAATTGAGTGTTTATCCATACATTTTAAGAAAATACATGTAGGTATGTCAAAGAAGATGTTCAGCCAAATATTGACCTGATAGCTCAGAAAAAAGACAAAATTTCGTATTTTCTCTCTACACTCCTTGTTGCCCCTTTATCATATAATTTTCAAATATTTTTTAGATCATCAAATACAATGCTGAACACTGTAAAACAAATTATTTTCTTGATCAGGGAAAAGTTTATCTCTCAGAAAATATGTGTCTAGGTCCCTTTTGTCTCTCGGATGACACATCCGTTTCCCTCTGGAAAACCCCTGTATCCAAAACCTCCCAATAAATAATGTTAATATAATGTACCTAATATAATACCTTTTACACATACAAGTTTATTACATTTAGAAAAAGAATATTCCAATATATAAAACATTTTTGGGCCCCTGTTGGAGCCTACAATAATAGTTAAATGGCCCCGTTGACAGATGCTCCACAGTTTAAAACATATGTAGAAATAACTTGTACTAAGCTTTCCTGATGTCAAAATGAGTGGTACTTCAACAGGAGGAAAAGGAGCTCATCTGAAAATGTTACAAGCTTACATGTATAATGTTTAATATTTAAAGTTATGTTTCGTGCACATTGTCATCAATAGAGGTGTGCTTTCCAACTGGACCATATATATGTACATTTCTTTTAGATTGTACATGTATGTCTTTTAGATTGTTGGATATTCTATCGGCTTGGAATCAAGTCCCATTTCTGGTTCTGTCCACCATTGTGGGACCACACGCAAACAGACGCCCCTTGTGAACGATTATTATCTTTAACGTCAAGTACCAGGCCGCTGTGTTGACTCCTTATGGATCCATCCCCTTCCACGTACCATTTTTGCCACGCCTTTCCCTCGCCATGCCAAGTGAGAACCTTAGTTCCCTGTGTAGTTTTTCCGCCTTCAATATCCAAAACTAGGCCATTCATCTTGCTTTTGATATGACCATAGTGATCAATCTCCCAGAGTTGATTATCATTGTTCCCCTGTGTTTTAGCAGGCCAAAGGATGAGACGGGCACCTGGTTCTCGCTTGCCGCAGTCTATGTCAAGCACCATACCGTTCAATCTGCTCCTGACCATATAATACTGAGGCATGATGGGTTAGCAGTCGCTGAAAAGAAATCATTTGAACATGAATAATATTGCGACAAGAAAAATATAGTTTAAATACAAAATGTAGGATTGATCACCCAAATATGCCTATGAAAGGATATTCTCTTTAACAGTAACAATTGCATTTATTTATTTACAAACATACATGACGTAGAACTACTAAAATATCTCAGTCAGATTTAACAAAGCGTGTATGATTTTAGAAAAAAATTCATAGCATGCAGAAGCTGCTGAGAAATGCAACTTACCTCTTTAAAACTATTAATTGTATCCAATTCACTTCAAAAACTGTCCGTCCAGATACACTGTATTACACTTTTAAAACACAACGTGGTCGGTAAGTCTAACTTGATATAGAAGTCGAAGAAGTCATTAACATATTCTAACTACTGGACGTGATAGAACCTTTTAAATACTAATTGAGATGGACATATTTGGCCTAACCAATCATTTCTTCAAGCAAGAATCACATGAAAAGTAGCTATGAATGTATCTTGTGCATTTTTATGGTTCAAGATGGAATAATGTCTACAACATTGTTCCTTACGAAAATGAGAAAAGATTGGCATGTGGACTCAGATCTGTGATTTGCAAGAGAGTCACTGTATTGGTAAATCATTAACGAATTCTATCAACTTGAAAATCTTAACAATGACAGTTATAAAGGAGGAAATCAATTGATGTTAGTCTCAGCTATCATCCACAAGTGTTTGTCGACTTCTCCATTGATCAGATTTATTACTTTTTATTACAGGTAATAAAGGGTTGACTGTTCAGTGTCAATACAGGATGATTTATGTGAATTAACAAGGACAGACTGGGTTGGTCTGTCAACGATCATAGTCTTGCCTCAAGTAGTATTGCTACTAAGGCCCCAATGATCATCTTCGTAGCAATGGACAACATTGGTACGGAGGGGACAATCTCAGTAGCAATACAGAGAATACAGAATATCTCATAGGGATTATCTCCTAAGTAAAATGTTTTGTCCTTAGATCACACGATGAAAACGTTATATAAAGATTTGAAGTGCAATATATAAGGTGCTCTCAATATTCTGTATTGGCTTTCGACTTCATCTCCTGTAAATACAGAATTTCTCAAGCAGAATATATCCTGCATTGCACAAATCATTCAATAACTTATAATACTGCAATTTACAAAAACATTCTTTTTATTAGTTCAAAATATATTGTATTTAGTAATAATTACACAACAAATTAAAAATGTTGTGCATGAGAACAATCCTGATACATAACACTAAATATGTATGTAAATTGATACATGATGTACAATGATGCACTAAAATAGCACCAGAACATCAATACCTAATTTAATAGACACAATCAACTGTTGATATGATTTGCAATGAGACATTAAATGGGAAGTGTTTCTTCATTACAGTGGTGTTTATTATATTGACATCTCAACTAAAATAGTTATGCTATCACCAAAATTAAGTAAAATTGTCACCATTACATGGGGTTTCAAGCTTGAAAGGCTATGAACATTCCATCATGGTGTAGAGTCAGAGATGTTTTGCATTAATCCCCTCTCTTCGTAGCATGAGAATATAACCAAAAACAAGTTCATCTCAATAAAAACACATATTGACAGCACATTAAGTATATACTGACAGATGGCAGATGAGATACCTCACTACATGACCAAAACCATAAAAACTAGCACAGTACATAAGCAGGCCTGCAGCCCCTAGGGGGGGGGGGGGGGGTAACCAGCAGAAAGTTGAATGTATTTACAAAATACATTTTAAGAAAATTTGGACACCCAGTAAGTCGGAGGGTTTTTAGAATTACCCCTTATCATAGGATCATATGATTATCACATGGTTACCCAGTAAAGTACATGATTGTAAATGAGATCTCATGGCGAAAATACATGTATGTCCCATTATATATTAAAAACATGTACATGTAGCTGTATACTTATCTCAGGCACTTGCAAGATAACTGGAGACAGTCCCCTCACCAATATATCAAACAATACACTTGGAAGTACAATCTAGGTACTTCTAACATTTAAAATATATCAGGATAAACTCCATGTCAATTTATTGCTCAAGTAACTACATTCACAGTTGTATCTTAAAACTAGAAATCCTCTCATGTATACATAAACTGATATCAAATAGAAAAAAACATTCACCCTCTACATGTATATTGATTAAATTGATTATGTATGCACCATTGCACCTATATATTTGTTCAATCTTCATAGTAACTTAACTGCTTAATAGATGGAGGTATTCCTCTTGTGTCCCAATGCACTCTGGGAGTGTTCCTGCTCTTTCAAAGAAAAGGTGGGTTCATATTTTTTCCAAGAGTGCCCTATTAAAAGCATCAACTCTTGGCCTGAGGAAATGTTGAAAACATCCTAAGAGCTAGAACTTCTGCCCACATCTGGAGCTCCATGCAATGTCAAGATTATAGGGACAAAAATATTCCCCAGTTTCTTGGTGAAGCTCTAAAGAGTAAAAGTTAATAACAAGATTGTCACCATCTCCACTCTCCAGCGCATAATAGTGAGCTTGTACTGACTGAGTATTCCTAACTTAGTCTTCCTTGATATGTGCACTAGATGGCTGCACTCTACAGTTGATTCTGAAAGTGAGCAGGTTCAGAACAGTAACTGCAGCTACACAAAGTTGCAATAAAGAAAAGGCTCCACCCCAGCTGTACAGCTTGGCAATGTAAGAGAGAGGTAAACCAGCACACACTCCACCGACTGAAAATAGAGATGTATTCACTTTTCAAATCATGTACTCCACCTGTTGAAGCATAGCATAACAAGGCACAGTGTGAATGGGATCACAAAAAACAAAGACATTTGAGATGCCCAACTTAAAGTTCGATTAGATTAAGAACTTGATATCAGTTTACATTTGTACAAATATAAAAAGCAATTTAAATCCCAGTCCCGCTCCTGAAAAAGAACTCAATTTACATTTTACCCCTGTGGTCCCTCAGGAGATACACATATTTCCCTTGGAATAAACCCTGTATCCAAACCCACCCAGTACATACCCTTATGTTTATCGCCAAAAATATGGAATATATGTATTGAGGTCAAAACAAGTGGGCAATCCCATATGTGAGCCAAAAACTTGATAGGACGAACACTTTCTTTGGCCAGTAAGGATAGGTTTTATGGTACCCTTTATCTTCTTTTCAAACATAAACTATGTATACATACCGTTTGCTGCCAGGGCAACTACAGCATGTGATCTCCCACTGATAGCTGTAGGGACAGATTCTACAGCCATGACACCATAGAGAGATATAAGACCATACAGGCATACACCTAGTAAAACACCCACTGCTCCAATTGCTACCTATGAATAAACCAAAAACAAAACATATTAGACAGAATAAAACACATCCCTTTAACTTGGGTAGAGATTAAAAGGTGGATTGGATCGAGTGGATTGAATTCATGTAAAAGGTGAATTGGATCCAGAATCTTCAAAATATGGAATTTTTGTTGATCTCCTAAAGTATTTTGTGATCACTCGGGATCTCCCTTTGAGGAATCAGAACAAAGCAACAATAAATATATACTCCAATCAGATAGATACTCCTTAAGTATTTAACCGCTTTCCCTTGTAAATCAACTTTAGTAAGATATAATAAACATACATCTGTAGGTAAAAGTTGTCATTCAAATTGATGTGTGGATAGTCCCAAAACATTTCTACTATGTTCTGTTTGGACTGAAAACATGATTTGGATCGTCAAACCAGATTTCCTTATGATTCATGAAATGTCTCAAATTACACTTGGAATGAATAATGAAGCGGGTACCAGGTCACCCTTCTCGCCCACCCAAGCAAAATAATATTACATCTATTATTTGACACGGTGGAAGTGAGGAGAGCACCAATCTTCTTAGGGAGATCAATAGAATTTTTTTAAGGAAAATCCATATTTTGAAGATTCCTGATCCAGTCCACCTTTTACATGAATCCGATCCACTCAATCCAATCCACCTTTTAATATTTACCTTAACTTGAGTCTCCTCCTGTTTATTTACTATTAATATTCAAGTTTGGATGTTTCATCAAGACTTACATATCTTTTTATTTTCTCCATAGAAACCACCTGGATGAACATAATTTCAGCTGATATTCCTCTTGAAACGTGATGGATCTTAAAAATCTATGAGTGGGACTCCCTTAATAGAAGCTTTGAACTGAATTTACACTTCTTAATGCTGAAATTGATAGTTATCCATACATTTTAAGAAAATACCGGTAGGTATGTCAAAGAAGATGTTAAGCCGAATGTTGCCCTGATAGCTCGGAAAAAGTAAAAGAATTTGAATTTTTTCTTTACAGACCTTGTCGCCACTTTAATATTCTAAAATGTATAATTTAGATTGGTAAGATAAGTTATTCTATTTGTATATTCACCTGAGAAGAATTTGCATCGATTATAAATACTAGACAGTATAATCCTATAGTAGTTGCAGCCACCTCAACAAGAACCACCAACATCCTGGGACTGTACACAATATCTTTACCAGCAGACTGGACAAATCAAGCAAAAAACAAGCAAAACTACATTAATTTTGTAGAATGGACATATAAACAATTTAATGTGTATTCATTTCATTCAGTATAATATCCATGGATGACACGAACACCTTTGTACCACCCATGGGCTTTCAGCTCATGGTACCACCATTTGACTGTCAATTTACGACAAGTTCATAGTCTATTGTATGAAAATACTCACAGCTTTTACAAGTTTGTCTGCAAGGAGCCCAGCAAGAAGTGAACCAATGAGTCCACCTGTCTCGAGACAGCTTGTAAAGCTACTTGCTGAAACAGAAACATACAATAAGGTCTACAGTACATACTACAAAGAAGAGTGGCCTCATTTCTAAGATACCCTGACTCCAGGACGCTGATTGTAAAGTGAGACAAACTAGAGTACTAGTAGCAACAGAATATTTATAAATCTGAGCTTTTCAATGAATCTAAAATATATATAATCACTGTGTATATACCTGGTATTTTATTGTCATTTGCTGAAGTTTGGCTAAAAATTTGGAAAAAATGTTGAGGGGAAATATACAGGGATGACCAGGTGAATACTATTTTTGAGTAGGGATTAATTATATTTCCTGGTGTTATTATTGAAAAGTTAAATTGTAGTATAAATACCTATATACCGCGAGAAGTTCAGCTCTTCTATTAAATACAACTGGCCCCAGTCCATGATGCTATTCCTGACCATCATTATTATTGAGTAATTGATGCACAACAACCAGATGAATGGTGAGGTTAGTATAGAGGTCCAACTATAGGTGGTGCTCTCATCACTAGGTTGGTCTGCAATAACAAATGTTATGCACAATATTAATGTGTTATCAACCTGAAAAATTACACATAGTCCATTTAATGGTCATTTTATGAATGGTGACAATTTAATTTGAAAAAAGACATCTCTTTTTTTATGTACAGTAAAACCTGCATATAGTGAACACCTATCACACACGGGAACTTCGCGTCATAATTATTCCTCCGCTTGGTGCGCTGTTGTGCATAGCAACGTCCTATGCAACGTGTATAAACATCGCGCGGACATATAAGTACAACCCGTCAGTTTTTCATGTTTGCAATGAAATTTTCTATTCAGATAGGTGTTTTAAACTATGATTTTCTTTCATAATATATATTGTTAAATAGGCATGATACATATCATTGTGTTTCTAAAGAATTGCTTATTTTAATCCTGTTTATTTCAAGTTGATAGGTTCAATATTAGTAAAGTTACGGCTTCACAATGGAGGGGCAATTTCTTCGTAAACTAAAAACCGCATCGTCAGCAAAGATTTGACGAAAACACAACATTTTTTCGCTGGTGGCATTTCTTCATTTATGGATGAATCTTTATCAAATTCGAAACACGTTTGAGCTAAATATACAAATTGTGTCTTGGCCGAGGCGGAATTTTAAAATTCAAATTACAATTAGAGAAAAAATAGCTAACCAGTGTCAAGTTTTACAGCTGATTTTCGAAAAAAATATAATGTAATTCCTTATAGAGTTGGAAGAAAACAAATTGTTTAAACTGCACAGGATAAAAATATATTAATCCAGATACATGTAACCTTTATATACAAATCATTATATACGTTAAAGGGCATCATCAACTATTAGAAAATCGTGTGTAAAGTTGGACAATATTTGACCCGAATTGACCGGCAAAATGGCCGCGCGCTCGCAGCGCCTCTAGCAGAGGAATAATTATGACGCGAAATTCCCGGGTGTGTATTGAGCCACAAGCAGTTTTCACTGTAGAAAGGTGTTCACTACAGAAAGGGGATTTTGTACAGGAGTCAATGTAAAATGTAAATGTGTTCACTAAACACAGGTGTGCACTAGAGAACGGTGTTCACTAAGACAGGTTTTACTGTATATTTTTAGAAAACACAATTGTTCTTGGAACCATATGTTCGGAATGAAATGAAACATCCATCCAAACCTCAATTGTTGAAACAAAATGACATATTCACAACATTTTTAGATCTCTCAATGCTGTGATTGTCATTTGAAATAAGTACTGTACAGTTGGGGACATAAATAAATGACAGGTGGATTTGCTGAAGTGAGGATTTCCCATGTTAAAAATAAGAGAATTTACAAGAGGCCATAAATCAGTGGATGAGATTATACAAAATGTAAAATATACAAATTTTAAGGGATATGTATCTAGACAATATTGGAAATTATGGGCTTTCAGACCACCATAATTAGGAAATGGTGATCGAAAATCGACCTGTCATTTATTTTTGTCCCCAACTGTAGATGTTTTACATGAAATTTTTAACTATTTTATTTTATTGTGTTTGATACTTTTTTTAATGAACCAAACTTTCCTTTGTATAACTATGATATTAAGAAATTTAAGAAAATGTTATACATGTATTAGTGTGTGCCAAAACCCCAGAAAATCACAAAAACCTATGTTGTGGTAGCTTACTATGAAGTGACCCATTATCATTATAGATTGGTCCATCAACTATTCATTTTTACTTGTCTGCACTCAAAAAGGTGACACGAAAGGGCTAAACGGCTTGCACCAAGGTGCAACCATCAAAAAGGTGAGTTTGATAAAAAATTATTTTTTTCAAATAATAGCAATGGGTATACAATAAAGGAGGCAAATTTGATATTGATAAGTATGGTAGTCCATTTGCGTGTGGCCATTTTTATAAAAAACAATAATTGTGAAGAATTATATATTTCTGACCTGAAAATACCATATTTATTCAAAAGTCATGGTTGTTAATGATAATATTCCTATTTCACCTATTCAATGTTTTCAAAATATTTTGATTACCATTATATTCATTTTTGGCAAAGTAAATAAATATAGGGCTCACACAAGGATCAACTTTATTTGCAATATTTTCATATTTAGTGATGTTTTGAAAAAATATAAGGTTAAACACAATTTTATTTGTTAAATGTTTAACAAAATAAACAGATTGTGTTTATTTCATTGTTTTGACTGAAAATCGCAATTCATTGCTCTTCCTCTTAGAACGGCAGGGGATATACAAGTACATAAACAGTCTTAAAAAACGTTGATCCTTGTGTAAGCCCTACACTTATTTACTTTGCCAGAAACTGATATAATGGTTATTCGGTGGTATGAAAATCATTTCAGAGGTAAAATAGGAAGAATGTCTTTCAACTTGGAATAAAAAGCATTATATGGTTAGAAATACCTAATTTTTACCATACTTTTTTTTAATAATATAACCATACCCTCATGGACTATCCTTACATTTCAATAACCAATGTGCATTATATTTTGCATGTTTTACTGCAATTATTTGTAAAAATATTTTTAAATCTTACATTTTTGACTGGAAAGTGAAGAGACAATACTCAAATATACTCATATTATTGGTCACATTTGGTTATTTCACCCAAACAGATTCGGGATTTTTTAGTCCAGGCATATGAAGACACTAGTGTGAATTAAATGGTCATATTATACAATACAATACAATACAATACAATACAATACAATACTGATCCAATTCAGAATTACTAGAGAAAGTAACTCTCGTGGCTGTTGATTACTGATTGCAGTCATTAAACTAATGACCTCATATTTGGATGTCCTCTCTTCCGATATGATTTTACAATTCACTTCAAATTGGCAAAGGACCAGGTATAGTATGGCAAGTGATATCTGATCGTCATATATTTTACCATGACTACTTTCTCAATATAAATATGACATTTCTCAAAAACACAATATGTTATCTTTCAAGAAAATTCAATTCTCAATGATTATAAAAATATCATTCAAACAATCTAAAAAACTATGAATGGGGAACCCTTCTCAACATTTTTTGAAATTATTTACTCAACAGAGGTTCTTCTTTTTTATTTGAATTGCATGAAAATATTATTCAACAAGTGATCTAAAACTTTTTCATAAGTAGAATTGTAATGAAAGTCTAGTTTTGGAGATATTAATTTTCAATGACCACAATTATGTTGAAAACAATGGATAGTTTGAGTTTTTCCAATGGAAAATAACATGGAACTTATGGTTTTTAACTTTATCACATTTCAATACCCGTCCCCTTTTCAGAATTTGTTAATTCATTAGCGTAGAAGAACTTTTGATATATTCGAATTAAGAAAAAATACTTTAGAAAATAAGCCTAATATTTTTCAAAAAGTGACAAGGTGGGGATCTTATCAATAATATTTCAGATATATTTTCAAATATTTATATTTTCAATTTAAATTTTTTGATACATTCAAGCATTATTACGAATGTTATTAATAACAGGTGGCACCACATTTGATGCTTATACCCGTACATATAGTAGTAAAATAATGTAGTGTATCATTAAGTTGTCAAGTAATCAAACCAGAATGAAATCATAAAAATAAGTTAAAAAATAAAGGTTGAGGGGGATTCATGATGTTTTTTTCTTTTCAAGTGAAGAAGTTGGATGATATCATTTTTATCACAGGGACTTTACATAAGAAAAATCATATTGTTTTCACAAAAACACGTTCAGCCCCAAAACGCCAAATACTAATTAGATATTGAGCTATGACCTTGAAATGATCTTGATCCATAAACATTGACTTATAGATCTCTGGTCATTTTATCATTGGTCATTAAATAGGACTGTAGCCCCACATTTGCCAACAACTTAGATATTGACCTTGAAATGACCTTGAAACCAGGTCACCTAATCATTGGTCTCCAAAGGTCACAATTGTTCTCAATTGCCTTTAAACTCCAAATTGCTAGATATTGACCTTGGAAGTCACCCTATCATGAGTCGCTAGGGGCCACAGCAGATACCAGGGCCTTAATACACCAAATACTTAGATACTGATATTTGACCTTGAAATAACCTTGACCTCAGGTCACACATTCATGATTCACAAAACGCCAAATATTTAGATATTGATGACCTCGAAATGATCTTGACCTATAGACCTTGACCCTGACAACAGGTCACCTAATAATCGGTTGTCAAGGGTCAGAATTGTTCTCAATTGCCTTAAAACACCAAATTGCTAGATATTGACCTTGAAATTACCTACACCCATTCAGTTGATCTTTACCTCAGGTCACATAATCATCGGTTGTGAAGGGTCACACCATCGGCAAAATGTCTTAAAATGCCAACTATCCAAGATATTGATATTTTAAACTTGAAATTACCCTGACTTTTGACCTGTGTTGAATACACATTTTATGAACAAAACATAGTACGAAGTTGAAAACTGATCTTTTTGAAATGAAATTGCTGCTAATGTTTCAAAACTAAGGTATCTTTATTGCAAAAGTACTATTCAAATTGAATAAACCAAAAGAGATAGACTTAAATTATCTAATGTTCCATCAGATTTAGTAAAATTATAACTCTTAAGTAAATGTTGCAATATATGCTCACACATATCTTGTTGTATATCAATCTAGTGCAACTGCTACAGGTATCACTCTGACACGTATCTGTGAACAAATCGAACTTCTTTGATGTTGATGTAATGCAAATTGGTATCTTTTAATATGACATCCGTAAGATAAACCATCAATACTAGGATTGTCAAAACTTGCATTAATAAAATCAATTCCCGTCTCATCACTGTCACACCCATTACTACAAGATGATGCCTCTTAGATCACTGTCTGCAAGCTATAAACTAAGTGATGCACTATATGCTCGTAATACTTTTTTATTCAAAATCAAAAGTCAATGATACTATTCCTATTTTTTATATATCCGAATAACCATTATATATGTTTTTGACAAAGTAAATAATTGTAGGGCTCACACAAGGATCAACTTTTTGAAGACTTTTTCGTACTGGTGTAGACTCTCCTGCTTGCGAAGCAAGGGCGATGAATTGAGATTTTTCAGTCGAAACAAGAAAACAAACATATAATTGTTTTTTCTTCAACAAATAAAAAATAAAATTGAGTTTACCTTCGTATTTTTTCAAAACATCACTTAATATGAAAATGCTATGAACAAAGTTGATCCTTGTGTGAGCCCTATAATTATTTACTTTGTCAAAAACTAATGAAATGGTTATTGGTATATTTAAAAAACACTGACTATATAAAATAGGAATAATATCCTTGACAACAGTAACTTTTTAATAGAAATCGCATTTTAAGGTCATAAATATCCAATTTTTTACCATAATTGTTTTTCATAAAATTACCACACCCGAACGGACTATCATTACACATCAATATCAAATTTGCATCTTATTTTGTATACTTACAAGTATTATTTAAAAAAATGTATATTTTTCAAACTCATCTTTTTGACGGTCGCACCTTGGTGCAAGCCGTTTAGCCCTTTCGTGTCACTATTTTGACTGCAGACAAGTAAAAATGAATAGATAATAGATCAATCTAAAATGACTATGGGTCAATTCATAGTAAGCTAGCACAACATAGGTTTAGCCTAACTAGGCCACTTAGAAAGCAATTTGGCACACACTATATATGCCGTTTTGTTCCAGCAAGGTTTGGATAGATATTTTATTTTATTCTCAAAAATTGGTAGAAAAGAACAAAAAATTGCACTAAAAACAAAAATTATTCACAAAAACAATAATATAAAATATATATAACTAATTTTCACATTAAAGGATCAAGTGCTCTTTTATTTTGCTCTTTTATTTACCCACTTATACCTACTTATAATACATGCTACTAGCAATAGTCTAGATGCGAGTAGAAATAATCTTGATTTACATCATTAAAAGTTAAAAATTCAAACTGATGTCATATTTGGAATCTACATGTAAAATCACATTTAGAAATGTGGCTTTGAAAAGAGGTCATAAACTTTGTTAATTTTCTTTGAAAATGTGACTTTTAGGTGGGGGAGATTCCCCATAGGCCCCATGTTGTAAAATCACAAAAAGTGAAATATCTTTTCTTGTGTCGGGCAGATAAAGTTTTCTTTTACTGGACATATTTTAATTTGTATAACTATCTGATACATATGGGTAGTAGAAAAGTGAACCACTAAAACTGATGAATATTCAAGTTTAAGGGGACTTTGTAATACCCTGCCATGCTATTTCCCCCGAATTAGCCACCTGGTGGCACAACTGGTAACTACCTAATCACATTCAAGTAATTGCCATTCAGATATCATTTTATTTGCAGCAAAAAAGCCTGTTGATACTTCCATTTAAAAAAGAGAATTGACTTAACTCACCAGCTTTATTTTTAGGTTTTTCTTCCTCACCATCTGGTGGTTCCAATCCAACATCTTGAGGTCTATTTTTTATAAGTAACAAACACACCCCAGTAAAGCATAGTGATAAAATACCTGGAACGCAAAAGATCGAAAAATTTTGATTAAGTTAGAATAATACCACTGTTAACATATGGGTAAAACATTTGGATACAACTCGACATCCTTGTTGGTGAAAATGATGAAAATAAAGAAATCCCCGATGGACAGATGATGGCAGTTCATCCATTTTGTTATAAAAATGTAACATTTTCATAACCAGTTTGGGACCAGTGCAAGTATTTGGTGGAATTATAGGCACCCTCCAAAAACAGGGTTCGTACACCTTTTTCAAAATGAAATTCCCTGACATTTCCCTGACATTTCCAAGTAAGAAAGAAAATTTTCAGATCAAATTTTGCATGCACGGCCTCATAAAAAGTCTCAAACAACTGTAATATTTAAAATACAAGACTTATTATGAAACATTGTGGGTTCTCCTTTAGCACCATTTCTCATGACTTAATTTACTTCTTATTCACCAATTTATTTCCTGATACACACTATTTTTTTATGTTTTACATTCCATAAGGCCAAAGGTAAACATACATCACATACAGGGGCGTAGCCAGCAAATGTCAAGGGTGTGCAATTCTTTTGGTTTGGATCACTGCGAGAAAAAGTAACCAAAAAGGGGATACGGGGGTTCACCCCCAGAATTTTTTTACAATTTTCATTGTATTTGGTACATTCTAAGCATTTCAAACTATAATTTGTTAAGTTTTGTAATAAATCCAAATGACAACTGAAACTTAAAAATTTTGATCTAATATCATACTTCATTGTATTTGGTGCATTCTGTAAGCATTTCAAACTATATTTTGTTAAGTTTTGTAATAAATCCAAATGACAACTGAAACTTAAAAATTTTGATCTAATATCACACTAGAAAAATAACAACTCCATTGAGGGGAAATTCCCATGCACCTAATGAAACATATTTTATCAAATACTGATCATTGTGAACATAATATGATAGCAATAACCTGGTATTACTATTGTCTTCTTCCTTTTGGGAAAATCTAAACCAAAACATGATACCTTTATTAGAAATTCCTTCTCAAGTAGCCTCACAAAAAGGCACAGGCCTATGATAAAAAAATCAAATAATATTTGTGTTATCAGGAATCTTATTTCTTTAAATTATCAAAAAGTTCATAAAAAATGGTGGCTATTTGAATTAAGAGACCATCTTGAATATTTCTTCTTGAGCAGGTCCTTTGTCCCTGAGGTATTGCCATATAAAATTTGAGCCAAAGTAAAACTATAGCTTCATGAAGAAAGGTTCTTAATTCTTTTGATTCTGGGTTATTTCCTCCCCTTCCCTTGAAATTTGGACCAAATCTAAAAACTGTTCATAATGTTTTCAAAATTAATTTTTTCATGAAAAATGGCAAAAGTATGTTCTTAACCAAAGCATTGGAATACAAAATTTGAACCAAATCTGTCAACTGATATTTGAGTTATCGCCCTGACAAATGGACAGATGAATAGACTGATGTACCACAGGACTGTCTGTTAGGATATAAGGTTAGACTCCCATTTCCCATAAACTTTTTCTAATTGTGGTTACAGTTATTAATTACGTAGCAATGTCTATAAGATAAACACAGTTTTACATTGAAAAGAGTTCCCGGAATTATTTTTGTTTTTCACCTCCCACCCTCCTCAGATTAACCCCTCAACAAAACATATACCGTTAATTAACTTTGAATGGCCCAAGACTAACTTATGGAGAAGCATAATTGCATTGAACCATTTGTACATTATATGTATATTCTTTATTGCTTGGTTTCAGTATAATGTTCAAACTGTTCTTACAAATAGACAATATACCAGATTAAATGTCATTCAATCAACCCTAATGAAAAGATTTCAATTTTGTGGAAACAACTAAATGTTCGATTTTGGATTTTATTGATATCCTGTCATAGCCCTAAAATATATTTTGCTGGAACATTATTTTTTCAACAATGATACAAAATTCCCTGACATTTCCCTGACATATCTACTGTTTCAAAATTCCCTGACATTTTTGGCCCTTTTTGACCTAATTTCAAAATTCCCTGACATTTCCAGCACCTGGAAAAATAAATCAATTTCCCTGACATTTCCAGGTGTGTACGAACCCTGGAAAAGAGGTGATCTGTTTGCTTTATGCTAATTATTCTAATATAATATAATGGTAGCTAACCTGGAATATACATGCTAGTGGCCCAGTTGTAGTTTATTGTAAGATATGTTGCAGCAAATGGCCATACTCCACCTGCTACATTCATAGAAGTTGAGATTGTTGACCACCATGTTCCAAACTCAGCCTTTGAGCACCACTGAAATGCAGTAAAACATGTGAAATCTGAACACCTCTGGGACCAATCAAAAGTGTTCGGATTAGTAGGTGTTCACATTTCAAGGTTTTATAAAGATGTAAGTCAATGGAAGATAACCAATATGGGACCAAAAAAATGTTCACATTGAGAGGTGTTCAGATTAGTAGGTGTTCACATTTCAAGGTTTTATAAAGATGTAAGTCAATGGAAGAGAGCCAATATGGGACCAAAAAAATGTTCACATTGAGAGGTGTTTGGATTAGGGAGGTGTTCAGATATACTAGTTTCACTGTTGTTAGGTTACGTTAATAGATTGGTTGTTCTGTCATAAAAATTAATGAAAATAATTCTATCAATTTTAGATTGAGAGATTCAAAAATGTGAAAAAGCAATTGGTCTTCCTTTTCTTTATTTCTTTCATGATTATCCTCAAAATGAAACTTAATTTGAGTGTGTCTCGTGGACATTTCAGGGTGACAGATTAAGTCATGAATTATAATGGAGACTAAAATGTTCATCTTCTTTACTAGAAGATGCTGAATACAGTAAAGTATGTTAATATGTTTTATGTTTATGCACTTACTTCTCTCAGTAGTTTTGCACAAGCTGGCCATCCACAGCCCTGGACCAGTCCCATGATAAACCATAGACCCGCCCAGGCCATAGAATTGTTAAATACTGCAAATAGAGATTTTAGCATACAGTAGAGGAGAGACCTGATTGTAGGGTAGAGAAGCTACCGTACCACTCACAATGTTTGATTGTTTAAGCTTGTATTCACAAATGCAACTAAGGCCCGTCGGCTACCAGATTATACTACTATTTAAGGTGCCATGGAAGTTAACAGGAAATGACAAAACAAAAAGTGACAAAACCATGCTGGATTTTCAAAATTTTTTGAACCAAGATAACAGAGTTCTGTTTGTGTTCCCAGTCATGTAAATAATATGTGGAAGTAGTTAAACTGACTGGAGGTCCAAACAGAACTCTGTTATCTTGGTTCAAAATTTTTTCAAAATCCAGCATGATTTTGTCATTTTTTGTTTTGTCATTTCCTGTTAACTTCCATGGCACCTTAAATAAACAATGTAAATGGAATAGTTGCAGGTGCTATTCATATAAATGAGTTACCCATAAAATAGAAGGTTAATCTGGTAGCCGTCAGGCGTTAGTTGCATTGCCAAATACAAGATTAGCCAACCATATTAGATTTGAACTGATATGATGATATCCCAATGGAAAGCCGAGAGCATTGAAAAGAATATATGAAATTTCATTACAAGTTAGAGTCTATCTGTCTATTATATTATATAATACCATTTATCATATCATGCTACATCATATTATATCATATCTACAGGTGAAGACGATAGAAATAAATGCCCAGTGAGTCTATAAAAAACTCTGGTATAGGCTAGTGCACACAATTTATGTTATTATATGGGAGTCTAAATGAGATCATGGAAAATATATACTAAATATACTTGGTCTTTAAAAAGAAAAAGAAAATGTTTGCAGGTTTAATTTATTGAAAGATTGCCAACATTATGAGTTGTCATGACTCCTACCAATCAATATATCTTAGATGTTTACTTCCTTCTTAATTTCGATGAAAAATAAAAATAACATGAAATCATCTGCTTATTTGTTATCTTTTTCAGGAGATCGGTATCACGTTTCAATGCTAGTAAAGGAATTTTCTAGTTCTCCTTGAATTTCTTTCACAATATGACTTCACAATCTCTTTAATGGCCTTTAATAAAAACAAGTATTTATCACCTTTTAAATAGTACTTTAATATTGCTTTCAATACAATTTTCAAAATCTTCAATTTTCTTATATTTTCTTTTCTTAATAGAGCAATCAGATGTGCCCTTGATAGTTCATATTTTTCAGGAAAGCAACAAACTTGGCACAGTTGTAGAAACATATGATCTGAATGGAAAATGATTTCGTGGCAAGTGATTCGGGGTGGTCTTCATGGATTTTTTAGCCTCTGACCCCCACCCCTATCAGCACATTATAATAAAATAAACAAGGCATTAACATGACAAAATGTCACCACCTAGTTGCTCACAATATTATGAGTTCAATCTTAAGTCAGATTTGAATTTCTGAGAACTTGTAGATGATTTTGAAAAAATAAACTGGTAAATTTGAAGCAAGTTGAAAAATATCTTTTTTGACCCTGAGAAGGTCATTGAAGGTGAAATCTCAAATCTAAATTCAGATTTGAACTTCTGAGAACATGAAGATGATTTTGAAAAAATTGGTCAATCTGAAGCAAGATGAAAAATACCTTTTTGACCCTGAGAATGTCATTGAAGGTCAAATCTTTTTTGACCTCGAGATTTCTTTGAAGGTCAAATCTATAGTAAGATTTGAACTGTTGAGAACTTGTAGATGATTCTGAAAAAAAGAATTGGTCAATTTAAACCAAGTTGAAAAAAGACCTTTTTGACCTTGAGAAGGTCATTGAAGGTCAAATCTCAAATCTAAAGTCAGATTTGAACTTTTGATAACTTGTAGATAATTTTGAAAAAATTGGTCAATTTGAAGCAAGTTGAAAAAATACCCTTTTGACCTTTTTTGACCTTGAAAAGGTCATTGAAGGTCAAATCTTAAATATAAAGTCAGATTTGAACTTCTGAAAACATGTAGATGATTTTGAAAAAAAATTGAAGTCAATCTACACAGTATTTGTTAAGTTATTGGAAGTTGTAAGAATTTGTTACAGACACCAACCACCAACCGCCGTCAAAAAATAGAGACCATAGCAATATGTCACCACTTTTTGGTGGTGACATAATAAATGTGTGAATTCATCTTTTAAGGGTCAAATATGGGACATCAAGTACTGTATTTCAAGAACGTGATATCTGATCATCCTGAGAAAAAATTCATACTAATAGAGGTATATATTGTTGGTGTTAATCAAACATATAATATATAGCTTGGGTAGCTAATCTATTTTTTGAGTAAAAATATCCTATTCTTCCTTATCTGAAACGTTCGCTTCAATTTTCTGAAATGATCACTTGGTATGCACTTTCTTATTCACTTTCTACATATTTATTCCAAGCTTTGATAATTGAAAACAAGGTTCATATCTAAGTACATTGGTATATTGACATTGTCAGTATTAGTTGAGACTAAAAAGGATAAGCAGTTTTACCTGGAATATTTGTGAAAAGATTTGTGTGACGCCAATTAATCAGTGTTATAAATTGTTTAATGAGTGTCTTTAATGTTTGAATTCAGCCCACTACACCCTGGGCAACTACAATATAGCACTTTGAAAAAGTGTGATAAAAGTAGTCTATCATGCCCATAAATGCAAAAGAGGCACAACATCACCAATATGAAGTTTTCATCATAAATCTAGCAGCTAAGGTCTAAGCCCGATGGTCTAAGCTACTATATAATCTGTTATAAATACTTAAAGGAGACATGTCACAAAAAAGTTCTGTTGCTATTTACACATTTTAAGAAAAAAGTTACTTATAATTGTGTTTTCATTGAATTATTTCAATTGATGTATCACCAATTTGTGTTTATGCACATAATATTCCCATATCTTTTCAAATCAGTATAAACATTCTTATAAGCAAAGGTAACAAATAAAATAAAAGTGAATCTTTTTTAGGTTCCAGGTAACAGGGATACATTAGGTACATTTTCTTGGGATGTATTGAAATGTTTATCAAAGGGAATAAAATGTGGTCACGTTTGTCTAATTATGACCTCATATATCAAACATTCTTTTCACAATAGTGTTTCTTCATTTCATTGAAATATGGAGGATCACTCTCTTCCCAACAGTCTCTTAACAGAGAGACATCAAGCCTTTAGATGGAAGCATTTTAAGTGGTTTATCATATATCATAATTGCCGCTAATGTTTTTATAAACATTTTGTAATCAATTACTTGCATATTACTGTTAACTAAAGGAATAAATTTAAGTATAAAACTGATGATGATTATAGGTTTTAAAAATTAATGAGGGATAAAGTCATTTAATATAATAGCCCATCTATGAAGTCATTTGTTTGTAAGGTCAGGCTTGATATAGTAGTATTGACTTCTATCTCCCAATATAACAAATTAAGCCATTCCAACCCTTCGTCCTCCTATCCTACGTTATCATTAACTCAAGTCAAGTTTCCTTGTGTTTATGCAATTGCGAAAGTTAACGTTATGGCCATAGATACATAGTACACAATACCTTCTGCATTATCATAGTTTTTCAGATCCTTATTCCAATGACTTTGAGGTGACCCTACCATTTTTGGTAGGCATCATACTTAATTTTCTAAGAACTAATCAAACTATGTGTCACATATCAGGAAGGCAACCACAAAAATATTTTGCATTGATGATAGATTTGAGGTGATCTAACCCCTTTTGGAAAGAACAACAGTTTATTTTCTGAGAACTTAACAAAGGCATATGGCACATATCATACAGGCAACTACCAAGATACTTTGTGTCAAATGTGATCTTCATCAATTTTCCTAAAACATCATTGGTTGTTTGATTTAAGGATTTAAGCCCTGGACTCTGGAGTGCAATGTAGAATGACCATTCCTTGAAGGTGTTGCTTTCCAAAATTTGCTTGAGATGCAGAGCATCGAGTGTTAATTTTAGGAAACAATGCCTATAGGAATAGTCATTACACAATCCATTGAGTCTTGGGCTTAAATTCTTTTCATACATTGCAAAAAGATTTTCAAAAACAGATTTCTCACAGTTACATGTTTTTAAAACATTTTATTTTCAGTATTACAAAAAGATACGGAATCACTAAAAGAACATATTTTCAGTGAAACTTTTTGCAAGGGTCAAGCTGGCAAAGTCATTTTCAATTTGTAGAGTCTAGTCATCACCATGACAATCATTTACCTAGTGACCTTGAGTTTGTTATTGGGTTATATAACGGAATGCAGTTACGTGAAATAGCGTGTTCTAATTGGCTGGAATAAGACATACTGTTGGTTCTACACTATGCGCACACCAATGGGTGATCCTTTTTCATCCTGAATGCTTAACACTTATCAGTTGGAGACAAGATTTGAGGACAAAAACAAAACAAAATGAATACCTTAACATTTACTCAAAATGTCAGTTTGAGACTCATTCAAAAATTCATCCCTGAAAATTTGAAATTGATCCGTCAAATAGTTTGCCTGGAAATCCAAAGACAAGACTTTACAAACAGATTTTAGAATGGAAAATCAAAATTGGTCATCTTGATTTCTACCCAGAATACCCAAAACTAATCAGTTTGAGATTTTCATACAAGAAGAATCATCCCTGAACATTTGAAATTGATTCGTTCATTGTAGTCCCTACCCTGTTTTTGCCACCTGAGTGATGTCACAATGACGATTAAAAAAATGAACTTTTATTTGAAAAATGGCGGGAAATTCGAATATTTGAAAATGAAAAGCTGACAACTTTTTTCAGAATATTTTTTATTTCAAAAATCTCTAAAATAACTAATAAAATAAAGTTATGAAAAATAGTAAATAAATGGAAAAAAACATATTATCAAACTTTACATTAGGCCTTAAGTAAAATTACTTTGTGTAAATATTTTAACTTATTTTTTGGACTTTTCAGTAGATAATAAGAACCTTTTAGACATAAAACGTGACATATTCCACGTGTATTGCACATATTTGTCACAAGCTTTTCTAGAAAAATCTTTATTACCTTTCCCAAAAGCATGCACTTCTGTTTGATTTAACCACACTTTAGAGATTCACGATTTGACCAATCACATCATGTTTTCAGAGACATCACCTCATAAATATTTACACATACTTGTATTTTCTTTGTCAACAATACTAAGAAATACATTAAAAATTGTTATTTCTGTCAAGTAAAATCATCCTGGTGAGGCTGGTATAAAATGTGTTGTCACGCCTTTTTTTCACCAATTGCCATTCTCAAGTTGAAGAAACAAGAACACTGAATAGTAAAGGAATTGAAGTAAACTTTGTTAACTTCAACAATAAAGTAAGTTATCCATAAAAATAAGTTTCTAAAAATTAAATAATAAAAGTTAATACAAGTAGGTAGAATAATCTTGAACAATTCAGATTTAAAATATTGGAACACTATAATTTATATATGTTTTTCACAATTACTAGCCTTGCACCAAGTCAGTATTTCTTACTTATCTGATCTTGAATTGTCATAATAGAAATCACGATAAATAAAAGAGAACGACTTGGGGCAAGGCTAAAAATTAACTTGATTTTAACTTTCAGAAATTAAAGTAATGACTCGGTTAAGCAGCGCAATTGGAGCAATTTGTCTGTTGATCGCTCTTTCTAGCGATTGGCTGAATGTGGCAGATGGGTGTGTTCGCAACAGATTTCGTGTGGGGAGAGGTACAATTGGTGTAGGGGGCCCTAGTGAGGCAGGAGGCAGTGGACTCTATGTTGGAGTCAGATATACATTACCATTTCGAAGGTAAATTACTTGTAATGCTAACAATTAAAATTATGTTTACTTTACTTTGTAATATAATACACTACAGTATGTTGAATTTTCAAATGTAAAATTGCATGAAAAAAGAGCAATTGGATTAAAGGTTTAATGGATGAGTTCAATCTAATGTTGTTTTTGTTATACATGTATGTGAGTTTATTCCATTAATTAATGAAGATATGCAAACAATAAGATTGCCAAAGTTTTATAAAAAAAAGAAGTGGCAATTTTAATCAATAAGAATAGGAATACATGTACATGTACATTGAAGTTAAAAAGTTGTCTATTTTGTTGTGTAACTCATACAATATGCATGTAAAATTAGAGAAACTATTGTTAATACATGTAAGTCAGCTCACTGCTTTATTTTTGTTCAAAAAGGGACAATCCTGTTTGTTGTACTTGTTTTATCCATTATGTCTGCTTTTCTCATGTTGCTTATTGTACATTTTTTACTTAAGGCGCCGCTCAGCAGAGCAAAAAGCTGACTACAGTGATGTTTTCAAAGTGTGTGACGCTAACGCTGATGACAAGTTGACTCTTAATGAGTTTAAAAACTGTTTCCCTCAGCCCAGCCGTGTGTTGATTAAAACCTTCAACAGCCTTGACAGTAATAAAGATGGCGCACTTAACTTACACGAGTTTGAAAATGCATACTTAAACCTGGGAGATAAAGCTGGTATGTAACAATATTACATGTATTAAAGTAATCCATATTTTATGTTTAATAAAGCAAATAAACATTAAGAAATCATTTAATTAACTTATTCTGGGCACATTCGTTTGTAATTTCTTGTTCAAGCTTTCAATATTTTGATATGTTGTGGACTTGGCCAGGCAGTCTACGGTGGTGACATTTAAGTTAGGTATAGCATGCAGTCATGGCCTACAGTTTTTTGGGGTTTGATTTGGATGAACTCCCTGTATTGCCCATTAGTGAAGACTAAACAAAATTGTAGGAAAATTGTTAACGCGGCCACAAATGAGTTATTCTACATGGTCTATTTGATTCCTGTTATAGATGCCAACTGTCATACAAATATGCTACAGAGATGTGCACTGCGTGAAATATGGGATTCCAATTCTTGACACGTCTAGAAACTAGTCTTTTCACGCCGGGTTTCTAGACGTGCCAATTATTTACACCTCTTGACACGCGATGAATCCAACTCTTTACACATCTATGCACTTCTTGACACACGCCATGCAAAGCAGTGCACAGACCATGCCAAAAGTCTTGACACGCGCTGATTGGAATCTCATTACTCGCTCTTGGCACATTGATAATTATGTGTAAGCAACTGACATAATTACCAAAAGCAATACATATAGTATTTTAACATGAAGTAATTATTTCCAGATTTGTGACCGGTAAGGGGTTGCACAGGAGCAAAGTGGAGTTATATCTTGTATTCGCGAATGCAACTAATTAATTACCAAAAGCAATACATATAGTGTTTTAACATGAAGTAATTATACGTAACTCTATATTTTTACTAATCTAGTATTTAATCTCCAGCTTAGGTGCAATCAAAATGTTGATCACATAATTAGCAGTCAGAAAGATGCTCTTACCACTGTAGTTTTCAATATTCCCTTTGTTGTAACATCTTATTTCAAAAGAATGGATATTGATGGTTGTATGGAAGTATTCATACATGTATCAAACATTCACATTATAGTTTACAGTGGAATTCCCTCAATAAATGCAACATACATATACCATTTAAGATTTCATATTGGACTTTCCGCATAATGATAAAATGTTAGTTTTCGATAAAACCCCAGGGCCGTAGCCAGCTTTCAGTTGGGGGGAGGGGTGATGTAATCACCCAAAATATTTTAGGTTTTCAGTCAGGGGGTGCGATCGTGACATAAATGAGGCAAAAAATATTTGTTTTGAATTTTTACAAAAATGATGCAACTTCCTTCAAATCTGAGCTAGAAGCTTCAAACAAAAATAATTTTAATGCTCTTTTCTTCCTCTACCTTATGGTTGTATTTTATTGGTTGTAGGAGGAGGTGCGAACCCATCGCCCCCCCCCCCCTTTGTTACGCTTATAAACCCAATAACGTATTCCCAACACAAGACAAAATCGTGTTTAATAACTAGCAATACCAATGTTACCACCATCTTACCCGGTCCTTAGTACTCGCAATCCTTGATTATTGATGCACATATTTGGAAGGTTATTTGAGCTTACCCGTTGGTATTGATACACTTATCTGTGTTTTTTAGGCCCGAATACTGAGGTTTATTTTTTTAATTATTGAGTCTTATTCTATTGCATTAATATGTAGTTGACTTTGTAACTACGGACGTGATATGATAGGTCTATTACATAATATGTATATATATAAATATCGTGATGATTAATGAATCTAGATGAAGACTAATCATAAAAACAAACTTAGACGACATTTAATATTTAAAGAAAAATAATTTGATAGATAACTTATGCATGTATAAGTCTCTTAGTAAAAAAATTAAGGGAAACGGGTTTCGTGATTTAACAGAGGACAGCAAGGTATCAATGTTGTTGTCTACGATCCCGGGTTCACGCTATTTATTTACAGTTTGTAGATTAAAGATCCTTATTTAAAGACAACGTCGTCTTTATGAATTATTTAAGACATCAGTAGTCACAGAAATTGATTATCCGAAGAGGATACCGAGTTCTGACCAGCAGACGAACACTTGCAGACATGGGCTAAGTTTGTTTATTTAACAGTTAGATTTGTTGACTTACTGATCCGTATTGTAATCTCTGGGAAGACGTTATTTTTATTTATTCTATACTTTGTATTTGCGTCCAATGTAATAAAGTTGATACTTTTATGAACAAGAATTTCATTTTAATGGCCATTTTGTATGCCTTTTATTTCCACACGATGTTTTGATTTTGCCTCGATGTTATTGTGTCATAGTGTTTTTGCTATAAAATTCAAGAAATTCTTTTTAATTAAGGAATGTTGGTTACTCTTGTGGTAAATCAAATTGTTGATGATGTCAACGGATCATGAGATAACACATTGTCCGGGGAAAGAAATCAGTATCAGTTGTATATCGGATAGAAAAATAAATATTATAGTAGATGCTAATAGGGGCACTATTACGCTGCGTGCAGAGTCTAATTATAAACTACGAGAAGACGAAACTCTCATTTAAGGAGTGAAGTCGAACAAATGCAAAGGGTAGGGTATTATAGAAGGGGATCATATAAAAGCACGATCTATTTCAAAACGCCTTTAACTTTTGTTCTTCAACTGTTGCCCTTTGTGCATTTCAAAAATAAAATATCTTAATCAGGTTTGTTCCACCTTTCTTTTCGCTCAGTTCTGCAATATTATCGTTATGTCCATATATTGTTTACCCTTTGCATTCGTTTGACTTCACTTCTTAAAAGAGAGCTTCGTCGTAGTTTAACAAGACTCTGCACGCAGGGTATATGTTGTTTAGGATTATGTCATTTGCGAAATAGCTGTAAGACATTATGAGAATGAAGATGGGAGTTTCCACGATAATGTTGTTCACATGATTTTATACACATACCTGCATAACAATCGGAGACAGAAGTCTTAATATTGTCCAATCAAAAAATAAGAATCTAACATTTAATAATAACAAAAGGATTAATTGCTTAGTTCTCTTTGTCTTAGTCTTTATTTTCTTAAATGCGGAAGTGTACCAACATCACCTAGATTACATAAGAGATCATCTAACAGTCTAAAATTGCTTTTAATTGCAAGTTAATGTTTTCCGATCAAAATTTGTATACCTGTAATATCGGGGGGGGGGGGGGGGGCGATGTTACATCACATAACTATAACGTTCATATAGAAATATACTAATAAGCATGTCCGTATAAAAGCTAAAATTATAAAAACTCCTTTCAAAGTCATTCTGTTCATGGAAGCGTCAAGTTATGAAAAACAATGCTAAGCACTCAAACAAATCGACTTGATTACCTTTGAAAACTTCTTGAGAGGAAATGGACAAATGTATTTTTCGAACCAGAAGTCAGAAGTCTGAACATTGTCCAACAAAATAATAAGAATCTAACATTGAATGATTACAAAAGGATTAATTGCTATATAGTCTTTGTCTTAGTCTTTGTTTTTCTAACGGCGGAAGTGTACCAACATCACCTTGATTACAGAAGAGATCTAACAGTCTAAAATTGCTTTTAATTCCCGGGTTTTAATTACATTTTATGAATAGACTTTTTTGCCTCTATTCTCATTTTTAAACCTGTTTCTGTTTGCGTATTTAACAATTGTGATAAATTATTCAGTTAGTTTCGAAATCAAAAAAAATTCTACATTAATAGTCCCCTCCTCTTGCACTGACTAAATATTAAAATAAGCCAGTCTGATTGCGAATTTACAAATCCTGTAAAAGTAGCTTCAAACCGCCTTTTAATCAGAGAAAACAATAAGTTAATTCATCTGATTGCGAAAATACGAATCAATCTGATTATCTGATCTCCATGCTATTTGATTCGTGCATTATCTACAAGTCAGTCGGGCAAGGGTGAAATTATTTCATTTGAAAACAGAAATAAATATCAGAACCCCTCTAGCATAACCATTCGGAAGAAATTCATACAAAAATAAGGTACACAACTGATGAAGGGTCGCACGCAATGCACGCACCCCTCTCCTCCTCCTCCGTGTTTGCCCACACACGACCATATTTGACAATTTTTCTAAAAGCGTTTTCCCCGGGAATATAGGTGTAGCGGTTGCCAGAAGTCGCACAGCTTGGGAGTCAGGGTATCCTGATCCATGCCTCAACGCCTGACGGGTCTGATATTTAAAGGGGGTGCAAAAATTATTAGGGGGCGGGGTAAACGTGAAAGTTGCCAAAATATCCATAGGCGTAGCCAGGAGGGGGGGGGGGGGGGGTGTGATCGCAACCTCCCCCATAACAATAAAAATAAAACGCTGAGAAAGAAGAAGAAAGTAGCATTAGAATGCCACAATCATACCCTCCTGACTGAAAACCGAAATCTTTTTGGCGATCGCACCCCTCCCCCCTGACTGAAAGCTGGCTACGCCCTTGATATCTGTTTTTGGTCATCAATAAAACTATATTTATATGGTGAGGATTTATGGATTTTGATAACAATAGGCTTTATATATGCTTTAATGTTTTATTTATCATGATGCTTTTATGTAGGCTATTAATTACAGTTCTTTTTGCAATAAAAAACTGGTATGTTTATGCCATTGGACTAATATAAAGCGATATTGTTTCATTATGTGGACTTGAGAAAGTCTGACATACTCATTGCTTTCAACCCAAAACTTAAAATAGGAAGTTATCAAGATCCCAAGAACACGATCGCTACTTAAACAATACGTTTGTAAAATCCCGGCGATCGAAATGCAATCAAACTTTCGCAATCAGGTGCCTAATTAGTCTTTTGATCTCTAAAGTTTTAAGACTGAACTTTTCAATGAACTCGTGAGAAGCAAACGCAATCATCATATAAACATTTTTCTAGTAAATCTAAAATAGAGTAAAAACCAGGGAAAAAGATCGCGTGGTTATTTGATTATTTCATAGGAATTAGGCATATTTCAATTTTGAAATAACAAAAGTCAGTCTCGGAAGAATTGTCCAAGCATTCCCTGCTTCGATGCGTTTTTATTGCAAGGGCCGTTTAGCGCCGATATGAATTCATTAGGGTTGTGCTTTATTTGTTTTATTTATATAAATGTTATGAAATGTGTACGACACTTTAATGAATTATTTTTAGGGTTACAATGCATATTTGACTTTTCCCTCTAAACGTTTATAATTCATCTTTATACTTTTCTTAGTTTGATTCAATAAAATTAACATTGGATCCCAGACAGTTATCAAATTCTCAGACATTTGATTAATATAGATATTTGTACTTCCTTTGACCAGTGGCTGGTGTGACTGAGATTCGAATCTAATCTGTTTCATTTTTATGTAAATTGAGAGGAATAAAGTTTTATTTTAAGCGTTTTAACAATCTTAACGTTTGGCGTGCAGCTCAACTTAATACACAATCAAAGGACAGAATACAGAAATAAGAACATGCCTTTTATTTGTTATTCAAGCTCGAGCAATATCCCCGGCGTTATAAAACCAAAATAACTGCGGTTAGGTAGCATCTTGACTACAGTAAAGACAGGCCATCTTATTTCTAGGAATTATTTCTGCCTCTCATTCCTTAAACCGGCTTCGTTAAACAGTGCCAAAATATTTAAGTCGGAGCCAAAAACAAGACTATTTTTATATTTAAATCCCCTCACCCTGTCAATGTCTATGCCTGCATCTGGTTTTCCCACTGGCCATGGATAGGGGGGGGGGCACAGAAACGAACATTCTGGGGTTACTTTTTAAGAAATTCCAGGGGGAGTTCACTTTTGGCAATGTTAGTTCAAAAATGGCCAAAATAATTTAAAATGTGCTCAGTATGGGGTAAAAATGCAATTTTGGTCACGGAAGGGGAGGGGTCGCTAGAACCAATCTATCCCCCCTGTATTCGGGCCTGCATGTGCTATCTACATATTTAACAATTTGATTGACACGGTTCAAAGTGGACTTTGTTAATTATTCAAACTGTTTTAAAAAAGGAATATGCGTCCAAGTTCAAATCACTCGAAATCAGGGTAGATAAACCTAAGAAAAACACATTTCGTGTTTTCATTTGATCTATATCATGATCCTGTAAAAATGTCAGATTTAGCAAAATAGATAGGCGATCTCTATCTGCACACGTCTACTCATTTCGACTAAGCTATTGCCTATACTTACACGCACACACATACTTTTAAATTTATTTTATTTTGATAGTGATTTAAAAACACAAATTATTATTAACACGAAATTAAAATGCTTGTTATATTCCAATCCTAGTAAAGTATAATTAAGTGCGACTATAGGGCATAACAACATGTGGCCGGTCTAATTATACTGTTTGTTTTGATAAGGCTGTGCAAAGAGATATCAAAACTCTTGACACGCTCTTTACACGCGAGGTCTTTGCACCTCTTGACACGTCTTGGAATCTCTAGATACGCGGAGTTCCTAGACTATCTTTGCACGTCTAGAAATTGCTTGGAATTTCACATTTGACGCAGTGGTGGCTACAGTTTCATGCTCTACTCCCACGCTAGAGTTCCCAGCCAAACAACCATGTGTGGAGCCTTACAGGTGAGTGAAAATATTGTCTCTGCATCAATTAAAACACAGTCTGACATCGACGTAGGGATACTTAATTTCATTATCTTGTGGATCTGCTATCAAATATACTACTCCACATATGCTTATACATGTATGTATGCATAAAACACACAATTAAGATCAAAGTGCAAACCATCCAAAGATATGATCAGAAATGGAAAAAAATTAGGCGGCCATTTTGGGTTTTACGAGGCATAAATCTAAAAATGACTTACAGTACATGCAATATACTCTAAAATCTAATTTGTTTGGGTATAACTAGATAACGGCAACTCCGCGGAGTAGCAAATCCCAACGAACAAAATATCAATTAGCGAATTCCAATCAATTATACTCATTACTTTGGTTAAAATTGAAAAAATTAGATTTCAGAATTGCGAATTCCTGCAAAGCAGGCATTTTGAATTTTCTGAGATACAAATCTGAAAAATAATACCATAATTGTGATCTACTCCAAAATTCCTTCAATTTGAGTATAATATAGCCAACTTTGAAGGGATCGAAAAATTATTGCGAAATCGTACATTAGACGGCCTTTTTGAATTTTACGAGGCTCGAATCAGGAAAAAAATACAATATTTGCAATCTACTCTTAATTGCCTTTCATTTGAGTATATTAAAGCTATACTTTAGAAAGATCTAAAAATTAGCGAAAATTTCTGTTTTCCTGTCCCCCCATACACGGCCCCTGGGGGTCAGGATGAAAAACACGGAATATATGTGAAATAGATAAATGTTGTGAATATACTACCAAAATTTCAAACAATAATATTAATTACTTTGGTTCAGAATGAAAAATTTATGATTTTTGCGAAAAAGTCCCGTCATTTTTAAAGCGGCGGCCATCTTGAAAATTCTTTTTTTTGCGTAAAACTATTCACCGATATACATCTTTCCACTTAATATGAAGAAAATCCGTCTACTAGTATTTGAGTTATCTTCCGGACAGACAGACGGACTGACTGACTGACGGACTGACGGACGGACGGACAGACGGACGGACAGAGGGCTTCACTATATCCCTACCGAACTTCGTTCGTTGGGATAACAAGTCATACTTCAGAGAGACCTAAAAATTAACCAAAATATCCATTTTCTTGACTCCAACTTCATGGTCCTACAAATTGGGCAACAGACTGACAGATGGAGGGCTTCACTCAGCTCAAAAATACCAAATTCCAGAATAATCAGAAAGTATGAAGTCCTTAGCTTGATCATGTTTTGTCATTGCAATATCTTTTTGAAAAACTTGGTAATGAATTTGACCAGGAAAACTGCCTTGGGCATCCCTATTCTTAATGTGGCTAAACATTTGATTGTTTTTCTCCCAGGAGTACATAGACTGTGTGGGGTTGAAGAGTCAGACATGTGACACAGATGAGACCAAGCAATACACCGCTATGTTAAGTGAGATGGTCACAACCACACGTGAAGATGGCATTTGTCCCAACATCAAAACAGATGACCTTGGCAGCACCACAGGTACAGTAACACCATTCTTATAAAAATATCTACCAGAAAAACTGCATGGATGTATAATCTTACTTCAGTACCTTACTACTTATCAAAACCAGATTATCAAGAAAGTATTTGTGAGGGAAAGGAAAAGGATACAAAAATGATTGATATAGGACTAAAATATGATTCAATATTTGCATGAAATATTAAATGACCTGATATATTATATATTGTACAAATGATTACAATCTTATGCTGATCTGGAACATTGTAAAAAAGAGAAAATTCTCTATTTATCTATATTTTGTGATAACTTAATTCATTCCAGATGTGAACTTGCATGAGCTGCCTTGTAGCAAGTCTGCCATTATGCTCTGCGATGTCGGTTTCATGGAGGACCTTCACAAAGGAGTTGATGCATGCATCGCCCTGGATGCCTACGAGAAATGCCTATTTGAGAGCCACCTGGGTTGTGAGGATAAACCATCAGAAGAAGCGCTTAAAGGGGCACAGGACATTCTGAAAGCTTATCTGTCAACTGGAATGTGCAATTCTCCTAATTAAGTCACATTAAAGTCTCTTTAAGACTATAACAATATCATGACATTTCAGACTTACTACAATTGAAGGTTGTCGGTTGAAGACATTAATAACTATGCATTCTATTTTTGGACTTAATGAACACAGTAAATCCTATAAAGATCCAATAGCTGCAATTCTCACCTAAACTATGCATTCAATTTTTTGAGTTATTGAAAACTGTAAAATCTAATAGAGGTCTGATAGCTGGTAGTCTCATCCCATGTAAAGACATTCAAATGTTCTATTAACAAAATTGGATATAAACCTTCTTTTCTGAAAAGTTACAAATTGAAATTCTATTCATAAATGTATTTTAGTAGGCTAGTATATACATTATTTTGCTTTGTATATTGAGGATATTATATCAAGTTCATTTCAAATAATAATTCTGATGTAAATCAAATACAGTAAAACCTGTCTCAACTAAATGCCACTGGAACTGGACAACACTGTTCAGATTGGAAGGTGTTCACATTTCAAGGTTTTTTAACATGGCAAATTGAAAAAATATGGGAGCTAAAAAAGCCATCTAACAGAGTTGTTTGAATATACAGGTTGCTGAATGAAATAAATAAATGAAGAATGAAAATGAAGATTATTTTGTTGATTACAGCACTGCCTTAAGTGCACTTTCATTGATTTCAATATCAGGATTATATGATAGGATGATCAATATTCAATTCGGAAAATAATTGAAATAAATTAATATGGCTGACAATATATAATAAGAAAAATATATAAATACCAAAATTACCACAATTGACTACATCTGTGAAAAGTATGTCTTGAAAAGAAATCACTTTTTACATTTACAAAGAAAATAGTCACCCTTTTCACAGGATTTCTGATCACTTTACCTTTTTTAACAATTTCTATTGACCAGTCAATTTTATTTCTTATCATGGTGACTATTTTTTCTTTGTTTCTTTGTAATTTGTGATGTTACGACTTGCTTCCGGTAAGAGGGAATTTTGAAAATTTCGGACAATATTTTCAATATTTACTGCCATGTCGACATCCTATGCTCTTAACTGTATACCGAATGGTTAAACAATGTTTCTTACTGGAAACAAATCCATTTAAACACGGAAGTGACGTAACGAAATACCAAGTTCATGCTATTACGGAAAAGTTCAGGAAATTCCATTATAACCGCCATCTTAATCGAACTTTGACCAAAAGAGCCATAAGAAACAAAAAGACCTCGTTCTGCCAACTAACCCAGACAATCGGAGGTTCCAATATATTAGAAGTTACATTTTGAGTTCTAGAATGCATTGAGGTAGGTTTCTTAAGTGGAAGGGGCGTAGATAATTCTCCCAAGTTGTAATCGTACAGGCAAATGTATGCGCTCAGTACAGGACCATAGTCCTGGAACGGGATAACCTATTTTAAGCTACTATAACAACCACTACAGTGCTACCTATCTCTCCTGAAATAAACCATGCTTTATAATGCTTATTGAATACATGTCTATTACTACCAGCATGCAAAATTCAATTACTAATACTAGTATTTTGAGTACACAAATACAGGACAGATAACTTACGTGGAAATATCAGCGTTAAAAGTCCTGAGCAAAATAGTCCTGTTGCAAAGAGTACCCTTGGACTGATGTAGTCAGAGAGAAGTCCCCCCATAAACTTGCTTATAGAATAGGCCACTAGGAGACTGCTATTTATTAGGCCTGAAAATATAACAATGAAAATAAAAATAATGTGGAAGAACAAGTAATTTGGAGCAAATTATACATGTACATGTAAAATCTTTCATGGCTGATTATTCTTTAAAAACTTTAGGATTCTGGTTATAATAGAGGCCAAACAAAACTGAAATAAATATGAAAGATTTCAAGAAAACTCCAGAGCGAGACTAGCATATTCTTTTTACAAATATATACCATTTTTACTTATTGTAAAATACTAAAAATGAGTAAAGTCCCCATACTTTGACATTATTAGGATGGAAAGAAAACTCATAGGTTTTAGGCTGATATAAAGATGGCAGAATGGTAGAAATATATTAAGTATAAACAAACACAAATCGATTGCTGTTTTTCATGGGGGAGGTTATTTTTATGGTATGAGGTAGTGTGTTCAAAAATAAATAGCTGTATTCTTGTTAAACCTAAGAGCTTGCTTCTCCATATATATTGGAGAGTCTTCCATTGTTATCAGACTTCATGCTTTTAAAACCCTGAATTGCTAATAGATGGCTCTCATATCATATAGGCTTAAACATTTTTCCACTTGCTATTGTCATCAAAATTAACATGGTGGAGATAACAGTTGATGTCAGAGTTGCACATATTTGATCCTTGATAATAAAGCCATTTGATCCTTGGTATAAGCCATATCTAATTCACTCTATAAGTACATGGTGAAGACACTTTATGTCCTTGGCATCTCAGTTGGCATGTAATTTCTGTTCTTGTCAAAAAATACTGTATCTAATTATAAATAAAGAATATAACTTTACCCAATTCCTGTTTGGTAATGTTCAAGTCTTGTATGATTCCAGGCATTGCAAATGTGAAGCTTTTCCTGTCCATGACGTAGAGGGCATAGCCAATATATAACACAGCAAACAGCACCATCTTTTGGTAGCCATAGCTACTAGAAACAGTTTTTGTCATGTCTGTTCTGTTATTTCTGAAGAACCAACCAACATGCCCTGATGGTTTAAATCTTTCAGAAACTAAGCCTAAATAACTGTACTTTTACTGTATAATCGGAGGTTTTTCCTGATATTGTGACAGAATCCGAGATTCATGAGCTTGTTTGTCTTTGTTTCACTGTCAGTCTATGTCAACACATCGCAGTGTCTATCTGGAATGTGAATATCTTACAACATATGAACATATATATCACAATTTCAATAACCATGTAATAGACATAGTTTTACATGTATAAATGAACAAGTTAGTTAACATGACTCACAACAAGGTCAATATCTAGATCACCTCTCAAGTTGATGTCAATATAAAGATCATATTTCAGGGTGAGGTCAATAAATAGAATTCTAAAACTACATGTCATTGTCATATGGTTCATGAAAAGTATGTGTGTATTTCCTTCCTTTTTTCAGGAAAGTATCATTACATTATCTACTTTTAGTCATTTAGTAAACCTGGAAACAGGTCAATGGAAGCTCCTGTGTAATGTTGTCTGGAAACCTCACCGACAGAAAATTTGGAAAAATAGAAAGCGTGAAATATCAGAATTTTCTGGAGTTCTCATTGAACTCTTACTACTGTAGATTTACTAAAAGAAGACAATGTAATGACACTTTCCTGAAAAAACAAGGAGATTAACTGCACATGCCTTCATACTTTATTTTGTACCAGAAAATAACATGTGCAGGTACAGTTGGGGACATAAATAAATGACAGGTGGATTTGCTGAAGTGAGGATTTCCCATGTTAAAAATAAGAGAATTTACAAGAGGCCATAAATCAGTGGATGAGATTATACAAAATGTAAAATATACAAATTTTAAGGGATATGTATCTAGACAATATTGGAAATTATGGGCTTTCAGACCACCATAATTAGGAAATGGTGATCGAAAATCGACCTGTCATTTATTTTTGTCCCCAACTGTAGATCTACATGTATAGCAATTTTTTCCCAAAATGTTATTTTCCAGCTGAACCTTAGAGGAGATTGGGGCATTCTCGGCCACGGGGCATTCCCGGACAAACCCTTGGTATCAGGTGAAAATCTGGGACAAAGTTTTTTACAATATATAGCACCACATCTATAATATGATGTGTCTAATACAAAAAATAAGCAATAAAATGACCAAATTGAAACAGTTTATGTAAAAATAGAAACATTTATTTTTATCCTAACTTTTGTATATTTTAGTTTGTTTTGTAGTTTAGTCATTATATCTGTGTCCTCTTATATTTTGATACTTCTCTGCCATGTTATTTTCGGAAAAATTAACATGGCTGAAACTCCCTAAATTACAAAAGGCCTTAGCTTTGCTGCACTTTTACATTACTATCTGAAATATACAAAAGTTAGGATAAATATGAATGTTTCTATTTTTACATTTTTACTGTTTCAATTTGGTCATTTTATTGCTTATTCTTTAAATTCAAAGTACTCTCAAACATTTATGATTTGACTATAAAACATAGAATTATCTAAATCATGGGCCCTTCTAGATATTGACCCCGATGTGATTCAGATTTATTGGGGTACTCACAAACAGAGATTGATAAACCGTTTCTATATAACAAGATTTATTTAGATATTCATATTCTCACTAAACTAAACAAAATGAGGCATATGTTACAAAGGAACAACTCTAACGAACCTGCCATGTTGTATTTTTACGCTCCAGGTGATCACATGACAGTCACGTGACTTGTTTAATTCAGAAAAGTGTTCGTGCGATTAATGTTTGTCAGTAGCCACCGATTGTTTTGTAATAGTTGCTGCACAGTGTAGCTCAATACCTTTACATTTCTTTAGCTACCGACATTACAAAGAATCTTGGTGGCATCTATTTACTATATTTGCACATAGCCATCTTTAGAGGGGAACTAAGTAAGCATCTATCATATTGACACATCAAGGTACATACTACATAGCCTACATTATTATCATAATGTGTGACAGAACTTAGGAATACACTGATTTATAGGAGAAACTTACCTCTGTAACAACCATTCATGGCGCCTCCGGGGCTCTAGTACAGTTTGTGATAAATAACAGGTGGATTTGTTGAAGTGAGATTTCCCATGCTAAAAATAAGAGAATTTTTAAGAGGCCATACATCAGTGGATGAGATAATACAAAAAGTAAAATATACACATTTTAGGGGATGTGTACAGGGTGACACAAAAAATGCCACTCACATAATGTTGCACAACTTTTTTGTCTGCATGATTTCGGACTTGTTCTTTTGGACACTAAAAAACTAGATTTAATGGAGCAACTACACAAAAACATACAT